GCTGTGGCTCAAAGTGGTAGAGCACTAGCCTTGAGCGAAAGAGGTCAAGGGCAGTGCCCAGGCCCTGAGTTCAAGGCCCATGATGGGAAAAAAAAAAAAAAAGACGATATTTTATCTGTCCCTATCGTGGTTACATTTCAGAGCTTCAGCTTCAACTGAAAAAGCATCAACTCAAAGAGACATAAGTCACAAGAGGAAGTTCAAGGAATTGACAAGTCTAGAGATAGGCCCAGCCAATCTTATTAACTTATAAGATTAACTTGTATTCATTAATCGATTAATTTCACTTATTCCACTTGAAGACATTGGGTTTCCTGTCCTCTTCTCACCCTCCTCTCACGTTCTGCATCCCTCAATGTGTCCGTTTCATCCTCAGACAGGCTCATGAAAGATGGGGCCCTCCTATCAGTTCAAGTCTGGCAAAACGAAGGGGAAGCTTGGCCCTCATTGGACCAATTGAACACATGACCATGGTCAAGGTGGGCCACATGTTCATGCTGAGCTGGAGGAATAGAAGGTAGAGGCAGGGGGAGGAAGGCAGGGGCTTCATCACAACCAGGCAGGGTGTTTCAAACAAAAGAAAACTAGCAGAAAGGAAAGCTGAGCAGGTGGAAAATAACAGATGTTCACTCTCTATCACATTGCTGGGTGAACAGATAACAGTAATAGCTTACATTTATTAAATGCTTATTAGGTACTTGGCACTGTTCTAAGTACCTTATGTATATTAATTCCTTCAGTGCCTCTCAGTTGAAGAGTAAATGCAGTTATCTCCTCACTTTACAGATAAGGAAACTGAGGCATACAGTGGCTATGGTGCCCGTGATAATGCATCTGCAAGCAATATCAGAACCTACTAAACGTGCTTCAGAGCTAATGCCTTTAATCACTAGTCAGTGTAGATGATGACTTGTGATGTGTGTGTGTGTGTGTGTGTGTGTGTGTGTGTGTGTGTGTGGTTAACTTTGCAATAAGGGGCAAGCTATCAGCATTTGGTAGGAACCATAATTTTCAATCTGGATTTTGGGTTGATATTTTCTGAAGATATTGGGCAGGTCCGGGTGAGAGGTAGTCACAGGACCACGGGAAAACAAGCAATACTGTACATTATGCTTATGATATTTCTGACTTACAATGAGTTCATCAGGCTGTAACCACATTGTAGTATCAAGGGACATCTGAACTCTAAACAGGCCGTCTCCTCTTATGCTAGGCTGAATCCAAATATAATCACTGAGATTGGCATTCTAAATATATAATTCCCTCTTCCTGAGAGCCAGTAGGACTTGCAAATGTGGTCACTCCCTTGGTGAGGTTAAACTGTGGCATAGAAGTAGTGGCACAGTCATTCTCAAGAGACCATGGGAGAGGGTTCTCCTGTTGGTTTTGATGAAGTAAAATGCCATCATGTGAGAGAGCCGTGAGGCTTGGACCTCTAGCTGAGGCCAGAAAGAATGAAAACCAGGATCTCAGCGTTACAGCCACAAGAAGCTGAGACCTGCCAATATCCGGAATGAGCTTGAAAGGGGACTTCAACTTCCAGAGGAGAAGGCCTTGATTTCAGCTGCAAACAAAGGATGCAGCAATACTGTGCTTGAACCCAGGACCTCCAGAACTGTGATGTGCACCTGTGAGGGTGATGAGTAGCTAACAGCAGCACCTTGTGTTTGTAGACTTCTCATCTCCCACCAAGGGACAGGCCCCTCCTTCTCATCCCCAGGACCAGCTCTGTACCGGGTATCCTCCATGCTACCTGGGAGGGGCCAAGTGCTGTAACCACCAGGTGAAGGCATGGACTGGTCATTTTTGAGCCACCAGTACTTGAAACAGTATCAGCTATGTATGCTCTGCAAGTCTTGTAAAATGAGGATGAAATTGCATTGTGTAGTATGCCTATAAAACATCTTCCTTCCTTCTTTCTTTCCCCTACCCACTCCACCCTCTTTCCCTTTCTCCCTTTTTTCTTCTTCTTCTCCTCCCCCCCTCCTTTTTGCTAGTCCTGGGGCTTGAATTCAAGGCCTGGGCACTTTCCCTGAACTCATTTTGATCAATACTTGAGCCATGGCTCCTCCTTCGGCTTTTTGGGGGTTTATTGGAGATTAGGCTGGTAGATTTTCCCGCCAGGACTGGCTTGAACTTCAATCCCCAGATCTTAGCCTCTTTAGTGGCTAGGATTTTTTTTTCTTAATAGGAATTGATAGAGGCTGAGTTTGTGTTTCCAAGATCAGTTTGGGGTAAACTTCAGCCTAAGACCCCAGAACATCTACTAGATGTTTTACATCTAATGGATGTGAAATATTAGCATGGGGCCCTTGATCCACGAGGAATGGTTATTCAACTCTCCAGACATGTTACATTTTCTTATAGAAGCTGCCTTGATTTCCACTTACCCATTCCAGTGTCTTCTGAAACTACTTGACAGCTTTGAAGGCAAGCAGGCTGCAGCACACAGTATGCTTAGCATACCTACTAAGTGCTCAATACCTGTGTTGACTCAGCAAAGGGTTCGCACAAAGAACTCAATTCAGCTCAGTCCCTAGTAGACAGTAAGCACTAGGGCAACTTTTACCGAGTCTGTTTTACAGATGAGAAACTCAAAGATGACGCTCAGGTTTCACTGATTTCCCTCTCTGCCCGCCCCCCACCCCTACATTTTATCAGCCGGCCTCTAAGAAGGCAGTCGGTATGTTGGCATCACTCACCGATCTCAATTTCTGACAAAGGAACATCCTCCCCCCACCCCAAAACCCACTTCCAAGAACAAGTGGTCCCCACGAACACTCAGGAGGGAGTCAGCGCTTCCAACAAAACCAGGAAGACCTCCAATTCCAAAGCAAACAAAAGTGGCTTCATTCTCCACCCAGGGGAAGGTGGTCACTAGACTCTGCTAAAGATAGAGGCTTGGACCCTCCCCGGGAACTTCCTGGCTTTTATTACTTTGTCACCCCCACCCCCTCCCTCCCCACGTTAAGTTTTCAAAGCCCTTTCTTTGGAAATGTGGGTGTGAAACTGCTTCCTAATCACGTTTTGCGGGAAAAGCTCTGCGAACATCTGTGTATTATTGGAAAACCTGGAATCCGGTTGGGTGGTTCCAGTGGGTGTGGGACCCCGCCCTGGTGAGATCAAACCGCAGGCACACGTTTAAAAACGCGTCGTGATCGCTTTTTTTTTTTTTTTAAACAGAGGCAGAAAAATTAGGCGAAAATTACAAATGGCTAATTACCTTGGCTTAATTATACAGCTAATCAAAAGCCCGCCTCCCCGCCCCCACCCCCTTTAGCACAAAAGTAAGAGGGGAAAAATGGGAACGCTTAGAAGTCTCCACGATAAAGATCTTCCTTCTCAGCGAGAGCCTAGGGACAAAACTCACTACAAGCCCAGCCCTCCCCTCCCCAGCCCCCGGCCCCACCCTCGCCCCCCAGGCCTCCTCCGAGACTTAGGGAACTAGTAGTTCTCCCCCGGGGCAGCTTGGCTTTCACCCCGTGGGGGTAAGAGCACTTCCTGCGCCGTGCGCCTGACCAGGCCCGGGTGCAGCCACCGTCTCCAAAAGGAATCGCGAATTGGTTAAACTCCGCCACGGATCCCTCACTGCTGGGGTGGGACTTGGGCTGGAATTTTGCAAGCTTGGGGAGCAATATATCATCTTCCCCTTCTCCCATCTCCTCAGTGGTGGACTCCGCCAATGGAAGCGCGAAAGGGTGGGGGGGGGGGGGAGAAAAAGAAATTCCACGCAACCTGAGTGCAAAGGTCGCTGGGCTTTGTTCCCAAGTCCGAGAATGCGCCGGGCAGGGGGCGCGGGGCTGTGCGCCCCTCCGCGGCAATGCTCAGGCGGTCAGACCAATCGGGAAGTCTCCTCGCTCTAAAAAGACAGCTGGCCACTACCTCCCTCCTCTCCTCCCCCCCTGCCCAGGATTCAGGCCAGGCCATTCCCCCCCTCTTCCCCACCCCCCCGTCCCCCAAGTCCCGGATCCGTGAGCGACGCCGACAGGCGATTCCGCCAAACCCGCGGAGAGCGCAGCGTCTTTTAAGAGCTCGCACGACGGGAATCTGGCAAAGACGTGCCGGCCCCAGAAGGCAGTCGCCCCCCCTCGCTCTCCAAAATCCGACCTGAGTCACTCCAGGGGCATCCAACGGCACCAGCAGAGCCCCAAACTCCAAAGGCCCGCCTTGGATGGCAGAGTTGTGCGACCCACTCCCCCTTCCCACCCCCGCCCCCACCCCCCCTCCGAGACCCGAGCGGAGCGTGGCCGCTTTAAGAGCGAGGAGCGCGCGCTCCCGCCACTGGCCGCCCCGGGCCGCGCGCCCCCAGCTCGCGCGCCCCCGTCGCCGCGCGTCCCCAGCTCGCTCGCTCGCTCGTTCGCTCGCTCGCCGGCTTTAAAGTCTCTGCCAGGATCCATGCTCACATGTTACTTCCTGTATGGAGGCATGGCCAGTTTCCAGCCCCGCGCTCCCGGTTTCTCCTCAGCCTGCGCCGGAGCCACAACTTTCGGGAGCATGGACTGAAGGCGCCCTCGCCTCAGCGCCCCTCTGAGAGCCTTTGTGTTTTCCTCGGTTTCCTCCGGCCGTTTCTCTGCGGTGGGGGGGCGCTTTCCGCGGCCCCCGTCTCTGCCCTCCCCTTCCCCGCTGGCAAACATGCCTCCTTCCTTCCCGGGGCCCTGGAAGGAGCTGCCCGCCTGAAGCCCGGAGACGCCGCGCCGCGCCGCGCCGCGCTCAGCCCCGCCGTCGCCCGCCGGCTCTCCGGCTGCGCTGCCGACTCAAGTTGGGGGATCGTCGGCTGCTAGCCGCCGCCTGCTAGCCGGTCCCTGCCGGCTCCGGGGCCGCGGGCACCGCCGCCGCCTGCTCGTCCTGCCCGCTCGGCTCGCCTGTGTTGGAACGGAAAGCAAGCCCTTCTCCGCCGCGAGGACCGGCCCCCCCAGCGTGGCCGGGCATCCCCGGCCACTTTTTCCTGGTCGAGGCTTTTTCCGGGAGGGGCGCTCGGCCGGCTTCCCGGGTTCCAGCGGGACTCTCGCCGCCGGGCGTGGGGGGGTGGGGAGGGAGGCCCCCCGTGCCCCCGGCGAGCAGGGGGTGGCGGCAAGCGCCCGGGCTGCGCGGAGCCTCTCGCACGGAAGCAAGAACTTATTCAACAAGTTTACCTCCCCCCCACACACCCCCTGCGTTCCTCTTTTCGATGTGCGTTTTCGGACATGCGGAGGTTACTGGAACCGTGTTGGTGGATTTTGTTCCTGAAAATCACCAGTTCTGTGCTCCATTATGTCGTGTGCTTCCCGGGTGAGTGCTTGCAGCTTGAGGGGCCCCGGCCCCGGCTCCGGCTCCGGCCCCGGCCCGCGCGCGCGCGCGGGTGCGCGGGGTAGGGCAGAGTTTGTGGCTGGGGCGCGGAGCTTGGGCGCCAATCTTAGGGACCCCGGAGAGGGTGAAGGGGAGGGTCAAGGCGGGGTGGTGGGGGGCGAGAAGGAAAAGAGCTGCTTCGCTGCCTCTGGCAATATTTAGGGAGGCTGGTTGGTGAGGGGCGGGGGAGTGGAAGCCAGGAAGGGCTGGCCGCGGGAGAGGGGAAGAGGGTTGGGTATTCCAGGGGTCTGCTACCACTCTGGGTTGGGGAGCTCTGGGGGCATTGGAGGAGGGAGGTAATGGGATTTGCCTTGCTAATCCGGCACCGATCGTGAGGGCTAGAGTTGTGGAGCGACTGGGGAGCTTGGATCCTTGGAGAGGATGCTTGTGTGTGTGTGTGTGTGTGTGTGTGTGTGTGTGTGTGTGTGTGTAGGGGGGTGGTGAGGTGTTGGTGGGGTCCCGGGGGTGGTCCCTTTGCTCTGGTAGGGATAGAAGGAGCTCTTGGCAGGGGAGGGGGGGCTTTGCTTTGCAGCTCTCGGACAGACCCTTTGGGAAGGCTGGTGTTCGGGGATGGAAGCTGGAGGCTGGCCGCAGAGGATCGGGATGTGGGGAGCAGCTGGCATTCTGGTCTCGGGGAGGGGGTGGCGGGGGCGCCTCCTCCCACACCAGCTCAGGGCTGGGGGACCAGCTTCGCCTGGGTGCCAGGCTCCCGGGGCTGGGCTGGGGTGGTGGGTCGCCTCCCTCAGCCCTCGGCCTCCTCTCTCCTCCTCTGTTGCTTGGTGGGGCTGCGGGGGTCGGGGCGCAGGGCGGGGGTCGGGTCGGTGACTAGGTTTGTGGTTCGCGCCGGGGCGGATTTTTATTTTTATTTGAACCTCTCCTGTCTCCCGCGCCCTGCCTACCTTCATCTTTGCCCTTTTGCAGACTGTTCGCAGCTGACAGACCCAGACCGGTTCCTTTCTGATCAGGTTAAGACAGGAGCAATATTGGCCATGGACGACTGTAATAAATCACGGCACGTAACGGTGTTGTAGCTCGGCGACCCTCCACTTCCAGCCAGCAGCCGGCACACCCCGACCCCCGCGAGGGCAGAGGCCGGCCGAGCCTCGCTTCGCTCTCGCCTAGTGCGGGGCCCCGCGGGGAGGGCTTGCACCCCCCCCCCCCCACAACTCCCTCGAAGCTGTTCAGCCCCCTTCCCCGGGGATGGAGACCACATTCTCTGCCCTAGCTTAGGGAAAAGGGTGGAAAAATGAGGGTGCTTTTCTTCCCTGACTCCTAGGAGGACAGGAGAATCCCCCGTTTTGCCCCCCCCTTTCTCATTCACCACTTCTTGGATACTTGCAGGTGAGGGTTATCTGAATCTGGGGGGGGGGGGAAGGAACGTTTCCCCGATGTTTCTTCTTTCCCTGCTTCACCGCCGCCTGTCTCCCCCCCCCCCCCCCCCCCCCCCCCCCCCGCCGTCTGGCCGCCAGGACGCGGGGATTTGGTGCAGCGGCTCCCCAGCCTGGTCGTGCGCCTGGGCGCACGGTGCTGGCGCCCTTGCAGCCCTCTCGGGAGCTGGTTCCTGGGGAAGGAGGAATGGAGGAGGTGGGGGGGGGGGGTGAGACTAGCCATAAGAGCTCTCTTCTCTGTTTCGAGGGTGATCTGGGGGCACACGGGTCTTTTCCTTGGCACCCCTCTTTTCTCTCTGCGCATCCTCCGGTGCCCAGCACGGCGCCGATGTCTCTGGTCAGCATCCTGAAACCCAGCTCCCCGGACCTGAGCGAGGAGGACGTGTTCGTGTCCACACTTCTTCCCAGGAGGCCTGGGGTTGGCCCACCCAGGGTTCCTTCCGGCTTCCGTGGGATCATCGGGGTGGAGAGGCATCTCCCCTGAAAAACAAGCTACCCCTTCTCCCCCATCCAGACCACCGTTAAGGATTTGCACGCGTCACCACCGTCCCCATCCCACCGGCTAGGCTCCCCGTCTTGGCCTCGGAGTGGCCTGCTGTGTGTCCAGGTGCACCCCGGGCCCTTTGTGAGGGTCACTGTTTTAACAGGGGCCGTGGGAGGCGGCGAAGGGCAATCTTGCGAAACACTTCATTTCCAATTTCCAAGGCTGGCCGCCTTCCTGGGGATGCATACAGCTGCCAGCCGCGATGTTCTTTTTCCTGGTGTCTGAGAAAGCTTGAGATAAAACAAGAAAAGAGAAAGGAAATGGGATGGGTAAGGTTGGGACGCGGTTTCCCTCTCTCTCCTTTTCCTTACCTGCCACGCTGCGAGCCAGAGCTCCCCCGAGAGCCTGGGGACATGGGGCAGAAGGGACAGCGAATGGACGGAGGCCCCCGGGAAGACGGGGTTGGGTGTGTGGAAGGGAAGGAGCAGGGTTTCATCGTCAGTTTTGGCGGCAGGCGAAGTTAACCACGTCGCACACAGCCTTGGGAGGTTCGGGCTTTCGGTTTTCCGAGGTTGCTGTGACGCGGCTGGACCTCAGGGGGCGCCCCGAGCCACTCGTCAAGCTCTGGCCACCTCCTCTCTACGGAGGATGGAGAGAGGAGAGAGGGAGACAGCACAGATTCAGAGATGGGCGGGGGGGGGGGGGGCAAGGGGGCGCAGCACCCATCTCCACCCAGTGAAGAGATGATGCTCACAGCTCTGGCGCTGCTGGTCGGCTGGAAATTGGGAGGAGGGGGTGGCTGGAGTTCGTGTTGGGACCCCCTCACACACACGCACACACACACACACACACACACACACCAATCACTTGGGAAGCTTTTACAGATTCAAAATGAGGGATTAAAAAAAAATTCTCATTTTGGATTAGGGGGCCCCCTCCTTTGTGGGCTCTTCACCCCAAAGCTCGAGTTACTTATTTGGTTACTCAGAATCACCCCACTTTCTCAGTTGTATTTTAGTCTCCAGTTTCTGTTGTAGACCACAGGGTCTCCCTCATCTGGGGAGGGCTTGGGGAAACATCTAGCAGAAGTCCTTGTCTCCCCGTCCCCCCCCCCCCCCACGTGAATCAGAAACAGCAATTTGTTTGGTGACTCAGGGCTAGGGCGCTACTACTTGAGCCACAGCTCCAGTTCTGACTTCTTGGTGGTTAATTGTAGATGGGTCTCCCTACTTTCCTACCCAGGATCCTCACCATCACACCCTCCTCTGAGTAGCTGGGATTCAAGACATGAACCACTGCCACTCAGCTGAGTTTTTCAGTTTTACAACAGCAGTTCAGCTGTGGTGAGATCACATGTTATTTATTTATTTACATATTTATTTATTTATTTATTGCCAGTGTGGAGGCTTGAATCAAAGCAGAGTGGTTGTCAAACATGATAGTGACCACCTTTCATTCTTATTAAAGATGTTCTTAAAAAGTTGTTGTGAATAATATACACAGAAGAATATAAGGGACCCCTCCATGTCTCCCACTCAGCTCCAGACTCAGTTTATTTTCATCCGTGTCCCCCTCTCTTCCCAGCATCCTCAACAAATGTAATTTTAAAGCAAAATTCATTTTAATATTTAGTCTGTAGCTCCAGTCATTGGGAAACCAGTGGCCTCTTACAGGATGTAAAAATACGTTACTCGAAAAGGGTGTTCTCTATTTTAAAATTCTCTAGCTATTCAGAAATTTTAAGTAAAAAGAAAGTATCTCTTTTCTTTCGGCCCTCAAGAGTGACACTTCTTTGGTTCTGAAGTTTTGTGTGGCAATTTGATTCCATCTAGGCTTCGGCAGTAGGAAGCTGTGTTGTACCTTGGATGGACAGAGAAGCTTGACTCTCCTAAGCAGGCTTTTTCCATATTTGCCTGTGCATGGCTTTTATTCCGATGAGCATCTCTCAAGACTTTCTTAGGGAAAGGTAGAGGTAATATTTGCAAGTCTACAGTCTAATTCTCAGAAGTGTGATGAGAAATCATAACAGTTTGCCTCTCTCCCACCCCCATCCCTAGGGTGTCTGGTTTTGAAAAGATTTTTCCTAGCTTCTACACTGGATCCCTTTGATTAGGGTTATGGAATTAAAACCTTTGATGTTCCTGTTTCCTTATAGATTGGAGTGGATGAAGTTAGGACTTGAATATAAGGCATAACAGGATCACTGCATAGTTGAGGAAGAAGGGTCCTAGGAAAGCTGTAATGCCTGAACACGGCAGACTGCCCATCTTCCCCCCTTCCCCCAGTACAGCTTGAGCAAGTCCCTGTTTTCCCTGACTACAAGATTATATTGTTGTTTACATGAAGTTCTTCAGGGAAATGCTGACGACTTAATGCTATGAAACCAAGCAAAAAACCTTTTAGATTTACGTTTCTCTTTTTCTCAAAACACTCCTCAGTTAACAGAATATCCATGCACCAATTGCAAGGGACTTTCCTGTTCATATCAGACCATTTCAAATGCTCCTGCATAATCATGATTAGGGAAGCCCTTTTCCCTCATTTCTCCCTCCCTCTAACCTCCGTTTTTCCTGGCATCTGAACCAAAGGAACAGTCTAGGCACCTTGGTCTTGCCTAGGTGAGGAAGGTCTGTAGTACTGCTAGTGGGTAGTTGATTTAACATTCCTCTTTACCCATGAAAGGTGGTGGTGACTTGAGATGGGGTTTCAACTATGCTCTTTGCTGCAGGCCAGCTCGGTACTCTGTGTCACCCAGGCTAGCTTTGTACTCAGTGTGAGGCTGGCTGGCATTTTCCATCTTTGCCTTCACATTCACAGTGATTGGATGACTGGTGTGTGCATGCCCGGCTTGGAAGTGGTAATCTTCAACCAGGTCTTCCTGGTTTAAGATGAAACTCAGCTTTTCCACCCACAGCTTGTGGGACAGTGCGATGCCATTTCTAGGTAGGATGAAGATGATTTCGTGTGCATTTGGAATAGGGAGATGAAAAAAAAATAGCAATTGCGCTTTCATCTCTGGTGCTCATCTCTCTTGTGGCCACACGTTGTGATCTAAAGCTTATGGGGCAAAA